TTACCCCGGCAGAGGTGTACATCCCTACAGTGGCTCGAGTGGGCATCACTACGTATGCATGTGTGGAAAACTTTTACTCTAGAATGCTGACATGATGATGGGCCAATGCTGTTCTGTTATTTCACCCGGATCTTACATAGTACAGTGGTGTGGTGCAGCAGAGCCACAGTGAAGAAAGATCTAGGCGGCGGGAAACGGAAGCTAGATCGGCACTTTGGGCTGCAGTTGCACCGGTGCAGCAAAGTACAGCGCAGCGCAGCGCGGATCAGGGTTTGCCCAGTTAAGCTTTTCCAGCCGAGGCATGTCGTTGACGTAATCTCGCTGCACCCGGCCCTGGCCGTCACTGGAATGAAGAAATTCCTCGATCCTGGACAGGGGAGCCTCTAGTGCCTGTCTTTGCCTGTGTATGTGCCCATAGTGCAGTGCAGTGCAGATTTCTGTGTACAGGTCAATTGAGCGAGAGATAGGTAGGTAGGCCCCCTGGCTTATCTTCAATCCGTGATTGTTTACCTATTGTGACAATGTCTAGAGCAGCAAGACGGCTCATGCAGGAGATGACGTCCACAGCTTCAGGACTGGACAGGCGGCCGACAGGGCACGCGGGGTGATGAGTAAGGCAAGTGTGTCCCAGGACAGGGGCCTGCATGGCACAGCATAGTACTCCTCCGCCAGGGTGATAAATGTTGGTTCGGCAAGGGTGCCACTACCTTCTCAACGAGGGTTTACTACCTTTGTAGAAGTTGATAGACCTATGATAATAAACAGAATATTCGAGAGCTTGATGAGTATTATAACTCTTGCCATTGAGTATCCTCACCCTTCAACAATGAACGTTTATTCCCCCGGCGGAGGAGTAAATGACCACTGGCCAACCGGCGACAGCGCCGTAAACAACCCCGCCAGATACAGGCCGATTGAGGCTTGAGGGCCGTCAGCACTTATTCTGCAGTGCGAGGAGATAACATTAAGGTACTGTACCTAAGGAAGTATTGCCTAGGTGTAGTGCGAGGCCCTCACTCATCTCACATTTCAAATCTCAAGAGCGAGCGCCGAAGTGCGAAGGGACGAGCACGAGGTTGATTAGTTAGTTAGCTTTTTCTCTTAGCTCTGCTGGGTCCCCCCAAGTAATTACTTAGTCGCTGCTTCGTAAACACACGCTTGCTTTCGGCCTCCGCGCTGCCTTGCTCCACTACCTGAGTCCACCTGCACCTACGGTCCGCATTTTGTAGACGCAATCGGACACTCTCGCCTCCCCCCGGGGCAAGCTTGACTCTTGGGCTCGAACTTATTTTTTTTATTCTTAATGAATTGGCCCCCCCCCTGATCATCCGGTGACGATTACTCAAGCTTGGCATCCTTTCCATCTTTCTCTCTATAGTTTATATACTCTGTACAGAGTCCATCCGTCTCATTGACTGAGAGATTCCTTGACTTACACGCCCAGAGTAGACAAGTGCTTGCTGTGTTAGTGGTGCAAGACTAACAACAATAACAAACACAACCTCGTCAGTGTAAGGTGCTGAGGAAAACAGCAAACAACACCACCGCCACTGAGAACTCACGATGGTGCTCGACGAAGTCGACCGCGAGATGGTCGAGGCCGAGCGCCTCGCCTCGCCTCAGACCTACGGCCGGTCCAGCCATGAGATCGAGCGGGTGGCTACCGCATCGTCCGCCTCGACGTCGACAACCTCAGACTCCATCTCGAGGCGCAACATTGGCATGAGCCGCATGTCTACCCAGCGCGACCTCGAGCGTCATCCCACAGAGCTGAGCCGGATCGCAACCCAGAGGAGCCAGCACAGCGGCACCGTCGGCCGCAGTCGCACGAGCCGCACAAGGAGGTCGTCTAAGCCTCTCCCCGAGTTCGGCGCCGGCAAGCCATACCCCCCGCCGTTGCCGTCTCAAGAGGAGTACGTTGTTGAGTTTGATGGGCCGGATGACCCGCTGCATCCTCAGAATTGGCCGATTAAGAAGAAGTGAGTGCGAGAATCTGAAGAGTCTGTAACAATGACTGGACTGAAGCTGACTTCTACTGCGCACCTAGGGTTCTTACTGCTGCTATGTTGGGCTACACCACCATGACCTCGGCTTTCACTTCAAGTGTCTTCTCAGCAGCCACACAATATGTTGGTAGGGAGTTCAAGGTATCATCCGAAGTTGGACTGCTAGGCGTATCATTCTTCGTATTGGGTTTCGCTTTTGGGTGAGTGTCTTCAGAATTGTGAGACCTACGTCCAGAATCGTCTTTACTGACCAAGACACAGGCCGACATTGTGGGCCCCCCTTTCAGAATTAAGAGGTAGAAGACTTCCAATCGTCATCGCCATGTTTGGATTTTCCGTCTTCTCCATTGCCTGCGCGACTGGCAAGGACTTACAAACCGTCTTGATCTGCCGTTTCTTCGCTGGATTCTTCGGCGCGTGCCCTCTAGCTGTTGTCGCCGCCGTCTTCTCCGACATGTTTAACAATGCAACTCGGGGCATTGCCATAACTATTTTCTCCATGGCAGTCTTCACCGGTCCGCTCCTCGCTCCCTTTATCGGAGGTTTCATCGTCGAGTCGTACCTGGGCTGGCGATGGACCATGTACCTGGCCTCAATCATGGGCTTTGTTGCGTTTGGTCTCGATCTGATCTTCCTCGACGAGACGTATCCGCCAGTTGTTCTGGTTCAGAAGGCCGCCGAGCTTCGCCGCAGGACCGGCAATTGGGGAATCCATGCCAAGCAGGAGGAGGTTGAGGTTGATCTCAGCGAGTTGATCAACAAGAACTTTTCTCGTCCTATGAGACTGCTCTTCTTCGAGCCTATTGTCACTTTGCTATCTATTTATATGGCCTTCGTATATGGTAAGTCGTGGCCTTCTCAGTGTCTCGATTCCAAAAGAGCCGCATACTAATTTCATTCTAGGTATTCTTTACCTGTTCCTGACTGCCTATCCTTTCGTCTTCACGGGCGTTCATGGTTTCAACGCTGGACTCTCGGGTCTGACTTTCTTCGGCATGATCACGGGCCAGCTTTTCGCAGGTGTTGCAGTGTTGGCCCAGCAGCCGTGGTACCAGCGCAAGCTTGCTGCCAACAACGGCATCCCCATTCCCGAGTGGCGTCTTCCCAGCGTCATCGCTGGTGGAGTTGCGTTCTGCGGCGGCATCTTCTGGTTCGGATGGTCCGGCTACAGAGAGGATATCCACTGGATCGTCCCCACACTCTCTGGTCTGCTCACGGGCTTTGGACTTATGTCCATCTTCCTCCAGGCGCTCAACTACCTGGTCGACGCTTACCTCATGTTCGCGGCCTCGGCCATCGCGGGCAACACCTTCCTCCGGTCCCTGTGCGGCGCCGGCTTCCCGCTCTTCTCGACCTACATGTTCAACGGCCTAGGCATCGAGTGGGCCTCAACCCTGCTCGGCTGCGTTGCCGCCGTGCTGATTCCGATCCCCATCATTTTCTACCTCTACGGCCACAAGATCCGAGCCAAGAGCAGAGTTGCACCGACGTTCCCCATGATGCCTCAAGCCCCTCCCCCGCAGGCTGAGAGCGACGACACGGCAGCGACAGCGGATCCGGAGAAGGAAGGCCCTGCTGCACCAAGCAGCATTCCGCGAAAAGACGGAGACAAGGCTACTGAGGCTGTGTAGATGCTAAGCACTGTACGACTTGTCGTTCTACACAGACGAGGATGCTACATCACAAATCGTCTTCGACAACACCAGCTCATAGCGAGCACATTTTCTCACTGTCATATGGATACCCAAAGGAAGAGGAGGGCGGTTATTACCACGTTGATTACCGCGTTGATTACCGCGTTGATTACCGCGTTGATTACCGCGTTTACTACCAGTGACTGCTTGCTGGTCTGATTTACATGCTTGGACGAATAGTACGGCGTTGAAAAGATGGCATGTGTGAAGTTCGGAAGTCTCACCAAGGTGGTGAGCGCTCATCTGAAGAGCTGTAACTACGACGGAACTGTCAATATTGTAAATAGTAGACAGCGATAACAAAAACCTAATGTTAATGTATGAATGAATCCTTTCGAGGCTATTATTAGACCGGTGGAGCGTGGATGACGAACCCCGCTACCACGCCTTTCTTGTCGTCCCTTCCACAAGGCGAATGGTTCCCGTCTCCAAGGCGCGAGACATGCGGACGAGGTAAGCTTAACAAGAGCAAATGGGTTGCCGTAAGACGTCAATTGCGTAGCTGCGTACGTATGTCGTCTCCGACGGTAGATGTCAGGCTTCAATCCGAGGTTATCGAGCTGCCTCGAGTAGACTAGTTCGGAAGACCCCACGGCTGATCCATAGTGATACTGTGCAATTAATCGTGTTGACAAGACCGAGCGACAATGGTGGCAGGGCCAGGTTTCAGTTGAGACTAATTAAACTAGAGTTAAACTAGAGTCCTGTGTATAAAGAACAACGATTTAAAAGCAACTCTCTTTCCCGCCTTGTTATTATCAAGCGCTCTCTAGAATCCTAACACGGACTCTGAGCACACTTCATTTCGGACTTCGCGATGGCTACAACTGAAGAGCCCAAGCCCAGCTCAACCCACGAGGCTGGTTGCCACTGCGGCTATATCAAACTAACGGTCAAGCTCACGCCGCCACTGTCCCAGCAGAAGACTCTGAGCTGCAACTGCTCTGCCTGCCGCCGGTTCGGCTACTTGCTTGTCTGTACGTTCAATGCCCTGAATCGCAACTGGCAGGTTCCATTCGTTGACTAATTCTCGTGCCAGATCCTGACCGCCAGGATGTGACGTGGATTGGGGAATCCGAACAAAGGGTTGCGCGATACCAGTTCAACACCAAGCAGAAGGACCAGCTGTTCTGTCCCAAGTGCGGCGCCAGCATAGGCATCGACTTCCGGGATTTCTACGCGCCGAAGAGGTATCCAATTGGAATCAGCGTGAGTTGTTGAATTTCACTTTGACACATCTATTCCTGTATTCTATCCTCTAGAGCCTCTTGCGATGTTACCATACCTGGAGGGTGAGGATTGATCGTTGATGACCATTTATGATCATTTATGACCGTTGATGACCGTTGGTGATCGTTTATGATATTAACACAGCCGTCTAGGTTCGGACTTTCAACGGCATTGATCTCGATAAATTGGAGTACAGAAAGCTTGACGGCGTAAGCGAAGTTGAGCCGAAAGGCGACTTGTCTGGCATGTGGTATGAAGAGGAGGAGAAGGCAAAGGACTCGTGAATCACAAGGGTGATGGTAATCACCTTATAACGTATCGCTGTCTTAAACGGTCAGCCAACCTATTCAGTTGGCCGCTCCTTATGTCTCTTCATCTAGTTTTGATTGCCCGTCCACGCTACTATGAAATATACACATATCTGGTCTAGCGGAGCATAGGAGATGAGGACAATCTAGATGATAGTCTGTGCAAGACCCCTCGCAGCTTCGGCTGCACCACTTATCTTGCTTGATGGCTGTTGCCTCCTGGCATACAGCTTCTCGGCAGCTGTGATGCAGTGCATGTTAGCACCGAGCTTGTGAATAGTCTCCTTCCACTCATCCTCCTCCACCGAGTCGAAGACAATACCGCCCCCTGTCGCATTCATTAGTGCTACGTAACCTTGTAAAAGTTGATATCAAGACTTACCTGCTTGCAGATATGCAACTCCATCCTTGTAGACCATCGTCCGCAAGGCAATGCAAGTATCCATCTCGCCTTCAGTCTCCTTTCCGTCGTGTGATACGCTGCCAAAGCCAAAGTAGCCCACAGCGCCAGCATATACACCTCGCTTCTCTTTCTCGAGCTCCGCAATCAGCTCCATTGCCTTTACTTTCGGTGCGCCAGAGACGGTGCCGGCGGGGAAGATGGATCTGAAAGCGTCGAACCTCGTCTTGTCTGGCCTCAAGACGCTGGACACCTGCGAAACAAGGTGCTGCACGTGGCTGAACTTTTCACAGACCATAAGCCTATCTACTCTTGTTTCTCTCGGATCGCAGATGCGGTTCACGTCGTTCCGGGCAAGATCCACCAACATGACGTGCTCGGCTCTGTCCTTGAGAGAATTGGATAGTTCTCTTGCCAGCCTGTCGTCTTCCTCTGGCGTTTTACCTCTCGGCAGTGTTCCAGCGATGGGGTGTGTGATGATTCGCCCGGCTTCAGACTTAACTAGTAACTCGGGAGATGCGCCAATGATCTGGAAGTCGGCGCAGTCTACGTAGAAGAGATACGGAGACGGGTTGACAGTTCGGAGATGCCTGTAGATGTTGAAAGGATGAAGGTCTGTCGGTCTAGCGAACCGCTGAGAAGGCACGGCCTGAATGATGTCACCTACGACAATGTGCTCCTTCAAAGTGGTAACATGTTGCTCGTAGCCCTCCTTGCCAATGTTCGACGTGTACTCCTTCCCGAGTTCTATCGGCTTTTGCTCAGGCAGGGGTATTTCCGGCGAATTCAGCACATTGATCACATCCTCAATGACCTTCGTGGCCCGCTCATATTCGGCGTCAATGTCCTCGGCCTTCTTGGGAATCTCCAGATATGTGATGATTTTGATCACTCCAAAAAACCTATCAAAGGCCACGATCGTGTCAAAGAACATGAAGAGCGACTCGGGCACTTTGAGAACATCCTTCATCGGTCGAGCGGTCTTGGGCTCCCAATACCTCACGCAGTCGTAGCCAGCAAAGCCAACGGCACCTCCGGTCAGGGGAGGCAGGCGTAGCTCGGGAACCTCGGCGACGACGAATTTGGACAGCTCTTCTTCCAGAGCCGGCAAGGGATCGCATGCCTCGCCATGACCCTCGCCTGTCTTCAAGATTTTCCTCGGACCCGCGCCGACAAAGCTGTACCTTCCCACTCGCTCTGAAGCAGCACTCTCGAAGAGAAATGAATATTGTGATTTGGAGTGTGCAGAAATCTTCAAGTACGCTGCAGACGGAGTGAGCAGGTCGGAAGATATCTGGCCATACACTGGTACTCTGTTTGGCTGCTTGGGGCCCTTGAACGGCTTTGCAAGCACCTCCTTCACCGTGTCCAGCGATGGGACAATGACATCCTGCAAGTGAGTAGAAATGAGCTTATCAAAATCCCAATTGATGGCAATTGAGGGTACATACTGCTGCCTCCATGGCTTCTATGAGCGTTACAGCTCCGCGGTATGAGATCAACTACTGTACTGATGTGTGACAATCCTGGCGGTTGCTCTGCCTTTCATGGACGCTTACTCGACTGACTCAGAGGGCACTTTTTTGATGTGTGGCGCTTTCTTCACGGTGAGCTTTTCATGCTAAATTGGCGAAATCGGCGCTATCTTGCCGTTTTGGTTACGGTGTGCGGCGTAGGGCGCAGGGCCAACCGGGTGTAACCTCGCCTTTGTCCTGTGACGGCCAATGGAAGTCTAAACGAGTACCTAAAAGAACCACTCGGCTTTCGACATTCTACCATAGTAGTCTCGTCATGGCTTCACTGTGACATTGCTTACGTTGCAGTTGACCTGTGCCTTTCTGATCACCAAGAATTTAATTGTTATATGAAAACTTATATTATGTCCTTTATGCAGAAAAAGTCTAACCGGTGCTGTGGGATCAAAATTCAACGGACTGGTTGGATGTAAGTCCCAGAGGCATTACGAATAGTGAGTGAGCCGCACTGGAGATATCTAGATTTCAACCCACGAAACCCTCCATGTATGGTTTTCTTAATATCGGACGGATGGCTTCCCTAAACCTGACTCTTAAACCCTTCCAGTTTCCCCACACCCAAGTAGCAACGGTTAATCCCATCGCCACTATACAAAATTTCCATATTTCGAGTTTGCCTCCCCCGACTAGCTCCGCAGTGTTCACTCCCAAAAACGAGGCAACAAATAACAGCGGCAGGAAGACGAAAGACAATTTAATCAACCGTTGAACATGCTCTGCCTGAGACATGGCCATCTTCGCTGGATGATAAGACAATTAGAAAAGGGGACTTTAGCACTAGGGTTAGAAAAGATAAAGTCCAAAAGTATCCAAGCATTCCGTTCACTGTGACTACAAAACTGAAAATGCATGCATTACCTGACATTTGCAATTGAGCAATCATTCTGCTATTGCTGGACGATTTCGCGCCCTTGTAGCGGAGCCTCCTTCCCAGGCCACAGTCGAGAAGTTTACTCAGCTCTCAACAGCCAGAGCCTTGACACCTACCAGTCTGGCAATCTTTCCATCACCAGCTCTCGTCACGACAAAATACTCTGCCCTAGAGCCGTCTCTAGCCACCCGATAGACTCTAACATCGTTGCCCTTGCCTGCCTTCCGCACGGCATCAATAATGTCCGTGTACTGTCCATTTGAATCCCAATCAATCGGGTCCGAGATCTCAACGTCCGCCTTCGCAGGATCCCAGTGCTCAATCAACCTGGCAAGCTCCTCTGTAAAGTGCAACCGTTAGCCCAGATCATCTGCCCTCTATACCGTAGACGCGAACATACCTTCGTCCGGCAGACCGTCTCCATTCGGCCACGCCAGCGAGACAGGCACGAACGGCTCGTCCGCGTCACTGGTGTAGAACGCATCCTTTGTGACCTGCAGCAGCGGCTGCGGGATGTCGGCGCCCTTGTCGGCCGTCTTGAACGCCTTCTTCGTGCCTGTCGTCTGGGTCTTGGCGGAGCCCTTGCTCGGGTCTTCGTTGGCCTTGTTCAGGAAGTCCATGTACTCGTCGTCGGTCGCCATCTTTAGGCCGTCTGAAGAGGACGTCTTCTGAGTCGAAGCTGATCTGAGTGTGCGTGCTTCGCTCCGTCGTAGCCTGGTGTGTACGGCTGGATACTGATGGCGGGGGTGTCCAAGAGGCCCTCGCAAGGTCGAGAAGCTGAGAGGTGGTCGTGGTCGTCGATGGACGGGATGAAGTCTCGCTAGGAAAGATATGCAGTTATTCAATGAAGCCAACTTGGACTTTTCACGCGGCTTCCTTAGGTGTTCTCTGTTTGCTCTCTTGGATCATGACGAGGTTGACTGAGAGCTGGGCATGAAGCTGGCTTGCATATGACGCAACCTTTTAGGTCCCAGAAGTCCCCCCACAATCCAATGAACCCCAACCCAACTGCGGTACCTACCTGTATGCCGCACTAACCAGGTCTTCCAGAAGCTAAACGCCATATGGCACTAGAAATGGTTGCAGATTCTGCTAACAAATTTGCATATCACTAGTAGACTACGCTCTCATGTTTGAGCGTCAAGACATTGAAATATGGTCTGTGATGTAGTATAGCTTACAGGCGACAAGGACCAATATGTTCGAATTAACACTAGACATTTCACAAATCACTACCATGAATGTGTGGAGAGCAGCAGAATTGTTTGTTTAGACTTTTTCATTTCGTCTTCGTTCAGCTTTCTATGAAGCCGGGAATGCTAGAGTTCCATTTTTGACCAATACAACACCAGCCGTCCTTTGAGATATTAAAGAGAAGATGCCCTGACACCAATGCAACTGTGATGAGACGAGAAAACAAGCTGCCGCTGCTGCTACGTCTATGCGGCAACCAGGTCCTTCTTGAGAGTACCCTGGTACTGCTTCTTCTCCGCCGGTGTCTGGAAAGCACCGTGTCCGAACTCGGACGAGGTGTCGATCCACTTGAGCTCGACCTTCTCCAGGGCCTTTCTTGAGGTGTGGGTGAACATGGACTTGCGGAGAGTCATGATTCTCTTCTTGGTACCAGGGATAGAACCCTTGACCATGACGAAGTCGTTGTTGACCTCACCATAGCGGACGAAACCACCAAGACTATTGCATTGTCAGCACAAAATTCATAATCTGTCATTGAGCTCGTTGAACTTACGGAGTGATGGTCTTCTTGGTGACATCGAGCTCAGTGGCGGCGTTGTCCTCAGCACCACCCTTGCCGATTCTGTAAACCTTGTGGTTGACAGAGGTACGGTGGTGGTAACCCTGCTGACCAGCACGGGCAACAGTCCACTGGACGTGGGACGGATGCCAGGCACCGATACAAGCGACCTTTCGGAGACCCTTGTGGGTCTTACGCGGCAGCTTCTTGGTTCCCCATCTGGCGGTAACACCAGCGTAACCGTGACCCTTGGTGACGGCGATGACATCGATCACCTCGTCCTTCTCGAAGATGCTGTCGATAGAGACGGGCTTCTCGAAGAGACCGTGACCGAACTCGACCTTGTCGGCGACGGAGCCACCGTTGATCTGGATCTCCATAAGGTGGGCCTTCTTCTGCTTGAGGGGGGTCTTGCGGATCTGGGTGTGGGCGAGGACACGGACGACGGTGCAATACTTCTTGATGCGCTCGAGCTCGCTGGTGATGGAGGCGCCCTTGTTCTCGGAATGCTTCTTGGCATACTTGGTGAAGGCCTTCTTCTTGCTCTTGTACCAGTTCTTGTAAAATCGTCGCTTCAGTTCGTCGCCCAGATGCTCAGCCCAGACGGTAGTAAGGGAGCGCAGTCCGCGGGGAGTCTCGATGTAGCCAACCAGACCAACAACGATCATCTGTGAAAGATGTTAGCCATTGGCACAAGCGCCAAGCGGGCTGCATTGTTCGTACCGGTGGGGTATCAATAATGGACACAGCCTCCACGACCTCCTTCTTGTGCGACTTGGCACCAGGTCTGTCGAGATCGCGGACGATGGTGGTCATACCAGCCTTGTAGCCCATGGCGGCAGTCAGGTGGACAGGCTTCTTAGGGTCATCCTTGGGGAAGCTTCGTCCCGTGGTTAGCCAATTGATGATGAAGTTTCCCGAAATGCTTCACTCACGACTTGACCTTGCCTCTATGTCTGGCAGCCCTCTTGCGAGGGAGGTAGGCCAATGAACCATGGCGGGCTAGATAGAGTCATCAGTATCCTTGAAACTAGCGACAAATTATGCTTCCGAGTCTCAAGCATTCGAGTATCGAAGATCACCCAAGCAGCAGAAACTGCGCCGGTTTTCGCGATCGAATTGATAGACGGGGCATCGTGATTTTGGGGAGGTGACTTACGAGCCTCGTACTTTCTGTTTCCCAATGTATTAGCGAAAGCTCATTAAATCCTATGAGTAACTTCTTGGCTTACCGGTGAGACATGGTTCCTGCTGACGATGTTGGTCGTGGTGGTGTGCAGGAAATCTCAAAAAGGTTGAATGCTGAGGATGGAGCAGTAGAAAAGTTCAGGCAAATTTTTGTGTGGTCCCACCCTCAAGGAAGAGTGCCCTAAGACGCACGGACCTCACTTGCCTACTCAGTCGCACCGACCCTAACAGTGTACTCTAGAGGGACATTATCAGCACGTGATTGAGTTGAGAATAAACTTTAAACCCTGCTTAGGTAATATAGAGGAGACGGGAGCCTGAGTTGTACGGATTCAGCCATGGGTTTGTCTCATCTCGTCCCGCAGGTAGATTAACTTCGCGTTTCGAGCTTCCAGCACCATACGCTTTCCCAATGCGGCGTACCCGTAAGAGAGTACCTAATCCCGTGGCTTGCTACGAATTTGAGGTGGAAGAAGTCAAAGCAATCAGCAGTAGTGGGCTTGGACCATGTGTCATTTACATAGATTTCTAGTCAAAGATCAAAATACAACGGGTACATCTACATGCTTAACAGCGAGCTTCACCATGATCACTTAGACACCTAAACGTAGACAGAAAAGCCTTGATAATCCTCAAATTTACCACTATGTAACTCGGCAATTGGCCCAGAAGAATTCAACTTTTCTTCAACGAATGGGGAGAGTAATTTTGTAAGGAAAAAGTTGCGTGAGCAGACCGAGAGTTATACATAAGCCAAATAAACACAAATCACAGGTAGGGGCCGTCGAGACCGACAATCTAAGAGCTCTCAACCTTGGGGCCGTTCATCATCCCATTGATCCCAGCACTGGTTGGTCCAGGCGTAGTTCCGTTCTTCATCTCGCCGGACTGCGATCCAGGTCCAGAACCGGGACCTGAAGCCGCTCCGGCCTTCTTCTCATCCTCCCCGCTGTCGTCGTAATCATCATCCACATCCATCTTCCTTGCAGCACGCTCCGGCTCATTAATGGCCGGTGGGTGCGGCGGAGCCGAATGCTCAATCCTCTGTCTATCCTCAACCGGATAGTCCTTCGGCGCAGGTCCAGCTGGTGGTCCTTCCCGAATAATACCCTGCATCGGTGATGGTCCCTGCTGCATCGGCGGCAGCTGACCAGGCAATGAGTGGCTGGGAGGGTGGTGCGCAGCCTCAGAAGGGTGGTAGCTGTCGTTTGGGTGGCGCTGCTCTTCAGCTCGGCGAATATCCTCAGTCCGTCTCTGCTCATCAAATCGTCGTTGCTCATCCAATCGGCGTTGCTCTTCGATGCGGCGGTTTTCTGACGAATCCCGACGGTACGGGTCCCGGGGTGGTGTCGATGGTCGTCGATGGCGCAAGTCTTCTAGCCTAGCGCGGTTTTCCTCAGAAGCTGGCTTCTTGACGGCAGGCTCGTCTTCCCACTCACGCATTCTCTTGGGACCGACGGAAGGCGGTCGTTCATGCTCTCTCAGGACATCTCTGTTCAGAGCATGCTGATGAGCCTCGGCAGCCAGAGCGGCTTGCGGAGCCGGTGCGCCAGATTCAATTCCGCTTGGGCCAGCCGGATCCGGATGAGGAGGATACGGAGGCTGATGCTGAGGATAGGCAGACTTGGGAGATGGCATGCGGTTATCGTGAATGGGCCGGATCTCGGTTCGAGGGCTATTGTTCCGGTAAGGTGGCAGAGAGTTGGGAGGAGGCGGGCCATTCACTCCGTTACTGGTCGGAGGAAGTGGAGCGGGTCCAGGGGCAGGTCCACCGTAGCCAGGTCCACGAGGGGCGCCAGACGCTGATGGCAGTTGCTGGGACTGAGGTGGAGGAGGAGCGGGACCTGGACCGTAATGCATTGGCGGCGGGGGAGAGGGCCATCGTCGACCAGCACCTGGGCGGCCTTGATCCGAGTTCTGTCTCATTTGCTGCTCCTGTCGAGGACTAGGCTGACGCGGGAGAGGTGGAGGCGGGCCACGACCTGGCTGGCCCAGAGGGTCACGCGATGGATCATATGGGTTTGGTGGGTGAGGAACATTGACATCTGAGAGTCTTCCCCAGTTGGCACCAGGTCCTGGAGGTGGTCCATTAGGAGGCTGAGGCTGTTGAGGAGCCGAGCTGGCCCATTGAGGTCCCGGAGGTCCGACAGCACCAGGGACTTGATAAGCCTGAGGGTGGACATCGGTAGGCATCGGGGCATTGCCGGCTTGGACACCATTGGCCTGGCCATTCCTCAGGAGCTGTAATCTAGCCTTGATGTGAGGATTGTTAGGATCCAACTCAGCAGCCCTCTGATAAGCGTCCAATGCGTCGTTGATCTGGTTGTTGCAACTCTCATACTGAAATATTATGTCAGCGACTAATCAAAAGCAATCATAGCAAAGAGCAGCAAACTTACCAGTGTGCCGAGGTCATACCAAACCTCGGAGATGAAGGGGTTGAGACGGATAGCACGGGAGTATGCATCAAGAGCATCCCGGTACTGGTTGATTTGGTAATAGAGAACACCAATTGAGCACCAGAAGGTAGGGTTGCGGCCATCACGGTACACAGCTTGTTGGTACGCCTCGTACGCTTTGGGGTACTTCTGCTGTGACATGTAGCAGCGTCCAAGCAGATACCAGCTCTGGGCATCACTGTTGTCTAGTCATGGCTGTTAGCATCGGCCGTGCGGTGAAGGATGCAAGAAAATTTCTGAATATCTTACCGGCCGCGACGGATTTCTCGAGGTACTCGATAGCTCTCTCCTGGCTGGAGAAGCTGTTGCTCTGCTGATGATGCAGCCAGCCGAGTTGCTGGAGCACCTTGGCATGGTTGGGATCACGTTCAAGCACTTTCTGATAGGCAGCCTTTGCGCTGTCGTAATCTTTCTGTTGTTCATGTACATGGCCGATCTGGAACCAGATATCCTCCTCGGTGAGAGGGTGGGGCGGCGAGTTCACAATGTACTTGAAGCACTACGCAGGTTGTGAGTAAACGCGACAAGCCGTGATGGGATATCTAGAGCATACCTCGAGACTCTGGTTATACTTTTGCTGCTGCTTGTAGATTATACCCAGACGGAAATAGATCTCGTTTGCCTTCTCGAAATCAGGTTGCATTTGCATGACCTGCGAGAAAGCCTCTTCGGCATGATCGAGAGACCCATAACGGTCATACAAGATGCCGATGCCATACCAAAGCTTGGGCTCCTACGAGGCATTAGAGACAGAAAAAGCAAAAAAAAAAAAAATGATTATAAGAAGGGAGGCAAACCTTTGGATTACGCAAATTGACGAGAGCCGACTGATATGCAGCATATGCTTGCTGCAAGTCGTCCATCATGAGGTAGCAGTGACCAAGACTGCCCCAAGCCTCGCCATTCGTGGCATCGATCTTCAGGATGGCCTGCAAGTAATCGACTGCCTTGCCAAATTCCTCACGAGTTCTCAATATTAAGCTGATCGAGTTCATCGCTTGGATGGAGTTCGGATTAGCGCGAAGGGCGTGCTCGTAGGCGGCCATAGCGTCGTCCAAGTTGCCGAGAAGCTCAGAGAAGCTCCCTGCATAGCAGTTAGCGAGTGTCGCAGGCAGGCAAAGAATGTAGGAAGGCTTTGACATGGGGATGCACTTACCAATCTGCACCCAGACTGCCTCGTTCATAGCGAGGATCTGGCGAGACGGGGCCCACTGCTGAGCAGGTGCGACACCGGGCGGCGGAGGAGGACCAGGAGGGCCATGATGCATCATGCCCATTGGGGGCGATGGATGATGGGCAGCCATGACTTTTTTGTTGTTGTAAGAGAAAGTCGGTGACGGGGAATACCACTTCAATTTGCAGGAGGCTGAAGCGGCCGGTTGTTGCTGGTACGAGGGAAAAAAGACGCTCGCCGCCGAGACAGTACGAATTAAGTTGCGGGGAAAGATTTAAAAGAAAATGAAGGAAAGGTGAGATTCAATGAACCGGACCGTCCTCTAATGAACCACTTGATGAGCGGTAATTGGGATCGTGAAGTGCGTGAGCGGACGAGCGACAATGGAGACGAGACGGGTGAAGCGCCCGGGTCCCAGTACCAGCTCCCCAGCCAACCACGCACGAGTGGGACTGACGCAGTGAGGAGCACAGTTAGGATAAATGATGGGGCATGGAAATAAAAGAGCAGGGCAAGATTTGGGATGGAATCCAAAATCCAAAATGGATGGGGTGAAGTGTTGACGGTGTTGGTGGTGATGTCCCAGAGTCCGGAGTCCCGACTTAGGGGTCGAGTGGCAGGTTGGGGGGTGGGCGAGAGAAGATCGAGAGGAGGAGAGAAAGGCTTCGCTCCATCTGGGCGAGGAGAAATCCAACGGGAGTAGGAACGCAGCTCTGGCCAAACTCCCCTAACCCACGAGTTGAAGGAAGCACGATTCTGGTTTGGGTTGGCTTGTTCCCCTCTAAGGAACAGCAGGGATCGTCTGTGTGGAGTGGAGTGCCAGAAAACAAATTGGACAGGGGGCCGGTACCTGGGTCCATGTGCCCCCCAGGTACCCACGACCTGCGAGAAATGACGCCCATCGCCGAGGATACATGCGGGTACCGGGAGCACACGCCCGTGGCTCAACCCAAAGATAAAGTGGAGCCCACTACGCCGTTCCAGCAATCCTTGCTTGCTTGCTTGGTTGCGTTGCAGGGTCGACGGGGACTTTGGAAGCTTCTACCGCAGGGCAGGGCAGAGCAGCCCCCTACGCAGTACAGCCAGCCCTTCGCTTTCAAGCACCTTATCCAAAACCCACCTCTCTCTCCACCTAAAGAGCCTGGTAGTTACTAATACTACCACTGCTTTACGTGGGCAGCTCCCTATTTCAGTCCCAAAACAGACTTCGCCGTCCGAATACAGGGGAAGCATGCTCTTAGCAGTATCGAGGGCTCATATCGCCCGCTCTCTCTCTTATCACTTTGGGCATGATGAAGCGAAAATAGTAAATGTTACTCCAGGCGCAATCACCACACCAAAAGAGTCGACGATGGTTTCAATACGCTGACATACCCATCATGCATGTGTCTCTCCGCCAAAGCCTGCCGTGGAGGAAGATGGGATGATGGGATGATTATGGATATAGATCAGGATGGCGGTGGTGGTCAGGCGGCGAGGAGTCTGCCACCCGATGTCAGATTGTGCGAGAATCCTTTCTCTGCCTTCTTTTTTACTTCTCATTGCGCTTCGTCCTCGAGAGACACATGGAGTCGGCGACGTGATTCATCCATCGTATCTGTCTTTCAGTCAGGCCGTCCGTCACCGCCACACCCGCCCCTGGGTGAGGTTTGTTTCATCCCAAGTTTGCCTGCTGCCTGTCACGCACCCACGCAACCCAATGCAAAAGGCAAAAGGCAAGGCAAAGGCAAAGACACGCGTGCGTGTGTGCAGTGCGGTATATATTACCGGGGCGTGCCTACGCAGAAGGTGCTGTGGCCCCAGGCATGTAAAGTACGTACCTACATACATAGCAGCAGGGTGGTGGATGACAGAATGCCGGGCTAGTCGTAGCAGACGCGGCTGACAAGCCCTGACGGGGTGGTGCAAGTCCCTTGATGTGCATGCGCCGGGGTGGTCAAGTAGCCGGTACGAGAAGGGCACGCACTTTATTTGGGGGACCTCGTTTCCCGAGACACAGACACACACCTGCACCTGCACCCACACACCCACTCCCATACCCACCCATCATCTATCCACCCGCCTAATCACCCAGGCTCGCCAGGCTATCCACCCACCCAGATTGGGGTGTCTCCGAAGCAAAATGATGGCTGGCCGGCGGCGGCACGCCATGACCATCGCCAGCGGCCATGACGCTTCTCAGATGCTGGGGAGTGGCAACCCGCCTATTACCTATTCAACCTACTGGGCCGCACCCCCCCTCCCCCCCGGTCGTCCCTCCGCCGCCGCCCATCATCACTGAACACCCACCCACACACACACCACAAACACGCCTCTTCCCCCTCCACCCCTGCCACCCATGCATGCATGCATGCATGCATGGGGACAGGTAAGACCAAATCTACCCTCTCCCTCTCGCTCACGCTTGCACGCAACGCACTAAATATCCTTACTTAAAGAGCGTGCTTCCCATTGCTTAGCGGCAGTGCTAAAGGTCAGGCAAGGTATGATGGGGTCCAGTCCCCCTCGCAAAAGTACGTACCTCACCGAGAGTACGTACTCGAGTACCCCAGTACCTTGACCTGCCGCCGCCGCCGCCTTCATCCATTCATTCATTCATTCGAGTAAGTCAGTCATTCATTACTCGCGCCATTCCCGGCCGGCCAACTCGGAGAAAATATGCTGTGTGTTGGAAGTGGCTCAGTACCGTTTTCGCGGCCACTCGCCTGACTTGCTGGGTTGGGCCTACGCCTTGCCCCATGCATGCTAAAATGCCCTTAGTTGAAATCATTTTATTGTTACTATCATTATTATTCTTCTTCTTCTTCTTATTCTTCCCCCCTTGACTCCTGTACACTAACTACCTCAAGCTCTAAAATCTGGGTAGCCCAATTTAATTCCGAGCAACCTGCCCCATACTGTAGATTGTGCTATCGTTCGCTTGCTCCTTTGCAGTATAGTGCCGATGCTTCTCTGCCATGCCAGGGACTACCGTAGCAATGCAGGGCAATTACATTACCCAGATGAAGAGCCTTGGCGTTTCGCGGCCGGTGCGGCCCCTACTACAGTAGTATTCTACCACCGAGTCAATCGAGAAGGAGTTTTTTTTTTTTTTTTNNNGGGGGGGGGGGGGGGGGGATTCATCGCGAAGCCGCTCTCTCAGTGCTTAGATTCGTTCGTCCAGTGCTTGTTGTTATCTGCGGCCTTATCTACCACCCGACATTGGATCGGAAATGTCGTCAGAGAAGACGAGGCAGGTGAGCATGCGAGCATGTGGGATGGAGAGAGCCAAAGCTGCGGCCTAATCGCCCGAAATGGCCCCGGGCAGGTTAATCATGATGGATAATTAACCGTTCATCCCTCCCCTCAAAAACTCTACGATAGGCGAGATACGGCTTGGTTGATGAGAAACCCAAGCTGAAGAGCCGTGCCTCAGGACCTCCCCCGGGCCCCAAGGGATTGGCGACCGACAGAGAGAGAGGGCGTGCGTTGGCGCCGAAACAAGTGACTTGTCAGAAAGGCGGCATCTGCCTGTGACGAGGGAAGGCGAATAGAAGGGGAAGGGGGAAAAGAAAAAAAAAAGGTGGGTGGTACGCCGTTTTTGGCCCTTCTCCGCTCCCACGTACCGATGATATGCCCCCGGGCGCAACAAGTCCCAAGCCAAAACGTGAACGCTATGCATCACGACAGGGAACCCGCTGCAGGCTTGCATTTCGACGCCCAGATAGGAGGCGATCCTACGTCCATCATCAGTGCACCGGAGCGCGGTTCACTGGGCCGCATTCGGGAGGAGAAATAGCATTGCGCGCGCGTGCACCACATCCCGCATTCATAACTTGTCGCCCGAACGAACAAGGCCCGCAGGTCCTGCTGCAGATTGTGTAGATGTAGATGCTGGCCTTATCCTCACCCTCGTATCTGAAGGAACCCGAGTGCCAACTTGCGGCGTCTGAGTGCTCCCGTGAATCTGGTTCATCCGAAACCAGTACTCGACATCCAAACATGAAAGACAAGCCACTAAACGAAATCGCTGAAAATCTGCCGGGTTCTCAACCCAGCCCCAGGTATCGATTTGCGGGAGCATGGAATATAGGAGGAAAAGGAAAAAGAGCAATGCATCAAGCCTATTTGGGAAGGCTCCAAGCAAGGCGCTAATTATCTTTGGGGAATCTCCACGTGGAATATATTCTCGAAACGCGACGTTATTAGATAAGGGGTGGTGACATGATGATGGTTGCACAGATAAATTGGACATGGACTCGGGGCCGCGGCGCCATTGTCAAGCCAAGCCGTTCGGGTCACAGGTCAAGATCTTAATTGCTGGAGGCTCTCCTTGTGCGAGGGTGTTGCATTGCCGTGTCCGTAGAGGGGCCAGACCTCTTGTGGTATTCTTCACGATGAAGGAGGGGAGGTGGTTGGGGGAATGAGAAAAAAGCGCCGGAGCGGACCAGCGGTAAGTAATGGTTCGCATCCTTCCTCTCATCACACACGTTGCTATGCAGCAGGTTAGGTAGGGTGGTGCATGCTCTTCCCGTTTTAATCTTCTCGGCTCAGGGGGTGGATTTGCTGACGGTGGGTGAGATGATCTACGTTTCAGTTTCTTGTTGATCGTGCTGCCCGCTGGATCGCCTAGCTTCTCTGCAGCTTCCACCGGTTCTTTGAAGCATTGTCATCTATCATCCGTCCCCTGTGCCGCATGTTGTCTATCCAGTTGATTGAGGGTGTGAGATCACAGCCCAGGATGTGCCCGGGTTGCCCAGGTCCCTCAATCTATTGCTATCTGGCTATAATGGAAAATATGACGGCGACGTCTCTTGACGGATCTTTTATCAAATGTGTTATTTCCCCGACACGACACATGTGTTTCTCAGAGGGTGCGACATGCTCGGGTGTCGCAATTGGGGGGTGGCAGCAACAAAGTGCTGTGGGTTTTGACGTATCGGCGCAAGTGCGGTAAGGTCATGTAAGGTAAGGTTAGGGTATGTTATATTTTAGGGCCTGTGACAGGATGTCGTGGCGGCTTGTGGGATGTGTGGTGGTGATCAGGCAGTTGGAGGTGGTGGCATCACGGACATGACTTCGCATGGATGATGGCACGGGCAGTTAGGGGGGCGATTTACGGGGAATCTAACGCAGCCATCATCAGCGAACGCAACGGACGGAAGATGTGACCAGGCAAGCCGGTCTTGGGCGTCCCTCGGGCGGAGCAGTGTCCATGATGCATCATCATCCATGGATACCTTACCCTACATGATCCACGTCCATCCATTCAGCGCATGTCCAATCCTCACCACACGCCATCCGCCCCGGGCCACAGCGCCATGCAGCGCCGTGCACAAGCACAAGCACAAGCACAGAGCACAGCGCATCACCGCATCACCGCATAGCACAGCAGCATCGCAAGCACGATAGGAGGGAAGGCGGAGGAAGAGGCGGCGTGTGGTGCAGAAAGCAAAGAGCGGCCCCAGACCAAGGGGGCATCTGCACCCACCTCGCTGCGTGTAGGTACTTGAACCACGTATGCAGTCCAGCCAAGCAGGAAGGGGAGGTAGAGCAACTCTGCATACCACATACCTTACCCTGCCTTACTGCAGGTAGTTAGGTTGCGTATCACCATCATGCTCACTAGATGCAATCTCGTGCAGCAGGATGCAGACGTTGGTGTGCCTTTCCGTCGTGTCCAATTCGCCAAAGCTAAAAAAGCTCGGTAAGTGTGAGGGCCCACAAGAAAAGAGGCTTATGGATCTGGGCTATCTGGCGGGCTGGTTGTGCTTAAAGTGGTGCACTGCTGATTTTGGGCTCGCTGGGCGGTGGGGTCCCTGGCTCGCTGGACCTTGGAGGGTGCCTTGGCAGCCAGGTACTCTCGTACAGGCCTGACCAGGACGGTCCTTTAGCTGTGGGTCTGGCGATTCTGTGGGACCGACCAGACGGGGGTTTCGTATGCGGGTGGATTAAAGGTTTGGTCTTGTCTTGGAAGATTTTTGGCAGCAGAAACAGATGCGCGCCAGCGAACCCCCCGGAAGCCCAGGGGGGGCCCCTGCACCCCAATCCATCCATCGAACCCCATCCTATCGCCGTCTAGCCGTTCGCCTGGCGCTGGCGGCGCTGGGCTCTGGCATCTCTTCGGCCCCAGCCCAGATGTCACGGGAGCCATTGTGTCCCTGCAACCGCCTGCCCTAGGCCTGAGATGTGCGTCAGTTAGCGGCAGCGGCGTATTTCCTAGTTCACTTCCTGGGTGCTTACATAAGTATTACCTGGGTAGCTAGGTAGTTCGCGCTCCTCATCAAATAAGCCACCTTGAGTTTCTGTAGCCGTACTTGGGACAAGAGTACCTAGTCGGCGTTCCTCATTCCATCCCATCCTTTCATCCGCTTTTCTCCCCCCCACACACACGCGGGCATAGGCAAGCATGAGTAACCCGAATGATAGTGTGTCAGATTTGCGTTGGCCACCGTCTCGTTACGATCCTCCAGAGACGGGTGGCTGAGGTTGGTTGATGTTGCACATCTCTCGCCTTCCTTGCTAGTCGTCATCTTATAAAGATTGACAGCCCTCCCGCTGGGAAAAGCCTCTCTCAGGCGTTTCTAGGTCTTGCGCAGTAGCCAGTGTCAGGAGCCAGGCTTTGCATATGTTGCTGCAAGTGGACGTAATCTTGACTTATTTGCTCTTGGCATCTGCAGTGATGTCTGTCCACCTGCGTGCAGGAGCTCGCTCCAGCAGTGCCATTCGAGACCCGAGTTGCCGCGCCGAGAATGCTTGTGTCGTAATAGTGGAAAGGCGACAATTACTGCATCGCACCATTGCGTGTGGTAAGGGAGGCTGCCACGGGCGATCGCAATTCCGGACCAGCCTCAAGCCTCACACGCTGTAATTGACAGGCAAGACACCAAGCCCCCGGGATGTGCGCAGATCGAATCACTGTGCACAAAGCACGGCCACATCAAACATGAGGCCTGTCCAGGTGACCCTGTCCTGCTGTATGGTCGCCGCAAGCTTGGTTCATTCGAAAGTTGGCTGCCAGGGGTAAGCAGGGTAAAAAAAACACTGTGCCAAATCTGACCTACTACCCGTACGTGCCTACATAATCATAGGCGCCTATTAGCTTAGGGATATGCGCCTAACAGACCCGAACACCGCCTGCCAACGGTGCGGTGGACTGTGACTTTGGTGATCAGGCCGTGGAACGTGTTCATCATGACGAGACAAGCTCAGGTCCGTGGATGTGTGCGGCTACACCTGAGGCATGTTCGCACCTTCCTCATTTATCGCTAAGATGCGTAGGTGCTGTCCAAGCCACAAGGATACAGACGCCACACTCGGGCTCAACCGCCTCGCGATTCCCGGCTCGAGGGGATGTGTTCCCCGTTACCCATACCCGTGCAGGCGGAACACTAACGAGCTTTGTTCCAGAAAAGCAATTACATGATGACCAGATGAGCTAGGACGCCATCAAATGCTCACTGCTTTTGCGGCTGTCGATCTTCACGATAAGGCCGCTCCCGAGAAGCGCCAGGCGAGCCAAAACAAAGCAGCAAATGCATGTTTGGGGCGCCCCACGGCCCAGGAAGCCCCTACGAGGCTTCGAACGAGGACTTTGTTGGAAAGGCGGTGCCTTCCACACACCCTCTCCTTTCACAGACTTGCCAGATCTCCCTGCGAGTCAGTGTGTCATTTGCCGGACTCATCCAGACTCAGATACACCATAGAAAAGAGCACGCGAGGCTTGCCTGGGAATATCCTATTGGCAATGGTCCTAGTACAGCCTAATTATGCCTCTACTAGACCTGTGAAAAAGGCGTTTTAATTCGCAATGTGGATCAGCCTACCGCTTCGTCTAACGCCACAAGGAACGATGAGGCTTGGAATGGCGTGGACTAAGTGCGGAAAATCGAGCCTGGCGCGACCCAGCACTAAACGATACGTACTCTGGGTCGGCCGTCACAATGATCTAAACGGAGGCTATTGACATGTCTTACTCGTTTGTGTATTTTATCATCAGCTAGTGCTACTTACGACTGAACCCTTCAGTTGATATTCAGCTGCGTAATGTCTTACTGTTGTACCCATCCTTGGATAAGATGTGAGTAGATATTAAAGCTCCAGAGTTTTGGAGTCTGGACAGGATCATGACCCGAGCTCCTATGAGTTCTACTTACTACCTCACACTCTTGTTGTTAGATGGGCTCAACCTCAGCATTATGATTAGATTTGTTTCAAAGTCTACCTAAATTTTGATATTCAAGGTTGCGCTCGTAGGTGTCGGGTGGTGTTGGGGTAGAGGGCCAAGGTTGATGCCACCCAACTGCTGCATTCGTGTAAGATTAAGAGAACGATTTAGTCATGAGGAATCAAGTTTGCTAAGTGGGAACGACGAGATTGAGGCGCCATGCTATGCTTTGATGTATTCAATATATTGAGATAGTCAGCCTGGTGTCGAGACTCTCTTCACATTCCACTTCTATTAGTCGTCTAAGACAGTTCCCTCATCATGAAGCTGAACATAAACAAAATCTGCATGACTACAGAAATACCTAGTATACAACACCCAGTGTGCACGCACGCTTTTAAAGCATGTCTACAGCCTATCAAGACTGCAAGTCCAAAAGGCTCCCTATGAGAAGACATCTGTGCTACAGCAATGAGATGCCCAAGAATGGTTCTGACAGAGACAAACCAGCCTTCCGACCAAACTCCAAGGCGCTATAGATCCTGAAGATTCAAAAGGGGCAAGGAGAATATCTGATCACAGTCCCAGGCAGACCTAGGGCCCGCTCTTGTCACTAGCATCGTGATCAGGGTTGTAGTTGGTCTCCCCAAGCATGGCGCCCGGCTGAGAGGTCATGGCCGTCGCGCCAGACTGCGGCTGCGTCTGTACCGTGGGCCCGGTCGCGGCCGGCGCTTGCGAGGCAGCCTGGGGCGGGCGCGAGGCCGCATTCGCGGTCGCTGCGTGTAGGCGCTGGTCGAGCGCCTTGAGGGCCAGGGCTCTCCTGCGCTCGGCCTCGGCCCTGGCGCTGCCCGGGACGCCGCGCTGCAGGAAGCTGTCGCCCCTGGCGGCGGACATGTCGGCCGGCGAGAAGGGCGTGCAAATCTTCATCGCCACCAGCACGTTGAACACCTGGGCCGAGATGCCGGCCACGAGCGGCTTGACGGGGCCGGGGAAGAACTCGGCGAAGGCGAACGTCTCGCTCGCATCACCGCGGAGGGAGGCGGATTGCGAGGAGTCGAGATCTGGGAAAACAACCTTATAGAAACGCAGGTAGGTCCAACTCGTAATGAAGCCGAAGATTGCAAGGAAAAAGGATGCCGCGGTCAGCAGAGGCGTCATAGTGAGGATCGTGACCAGACCGATGTAGAGGAGAGGGAATCGAGGCACTCGGAGGGAAATGATGCCGCGGAACAGGGTCACCGTGTGAGCGGGAACGAGCTGGCTGAAGGCAACGAGGAAACCAATTTGGATCGGAATCGTGCCAGCAATAGTAGTCAGCCTGAGATAAATTACAGTTAGCTAAAGAATCGAAACATAAGATCTAGCAAAATGACATACGTCCAGGCCTCATTTCGTGTAAAGGTGAAGAAGACGATCATGAGTGCGAAGCAGAGCACGTTCGGGATGAGAGAGGTAATGAGGAGGAACTTCGCGAGCTCCCGCGACGACCAAGCGCGTTCCAGGTATCTTCCTCCATGATATAACGTCAAGCCAGCGATCGATAATGTGAAGATATTGCTCTCGACGAGAGTTGTCGTCAGGAAGGTCCAGGGATAGATCAAGGAGAGCTGCGGGATGAGATTAAGATAGGGGATGACGATTTCGGAATTCGCGGTCCATTGCCTGTAGCGTATAGCCGCGCTGAGAACGGACTGGACTCCAAGAGTGATGAGCAGAATCCGGGTAACCGGTGGGATGTTTATTCGTGGAGGCATGACGGCTACTTAGTCCCTTCGCTGCTACAGCCAAGCATCGTCTTCTGATCGCGCGTCCTAGTAGGTGTCTTTTTTCTGGCGTACGAGAAATTCGTGCTGCCTCAGGCACCATTTAAGATTGGGCCGGAGAAGGATGCAAAGCGGCAGCCTACCCAGACTTATCCTCTATTCGTAGAGTAATCAACGCCCACGAGAACTGTTTACTACTTGAACTAATCAATACGTCCTATGAGAAATGCATTTAGATGATAGTCAGTCTTAGAAGCTTCATAAATAGTTGGTAGTAGTCATATCAAGAGAACTGTGAATTGGAAACTGTTCGATGTTGTCCCAACGCTTACTGACTGCGAAACGGTGCGCACGGGCCACCTCAAATGACCAGGCCAGATCAATCAGTCTGGACTTTTGCGACTGTAGAATGGGCTGGCTGGAGGTCTAGTTTATTCACAGGCTGGCTCGATCATCTTGTATGCTCTTGAACTCGTTCATGGAGCACATATGTGCCTTTCGAGTCCTTGTGCGCTAATCTGGCTGGTGCACAAGCTCTGTCTGTAGAGCGTAGAGCCCAGATATCTTGCTGGAGGTTAACAGACATCAGCTCTACCGCGCTCTTCATTTCATTGTGTCCTCCAGTCGCTCCACATTAGCGGAAGATCCTAGAGCCCTTTTTCACAAGATTAAGGCACTGAGTATGGTTGAGCTGGGGCATGACACCAGTTCAAACAGCCCTGTCCCCCTTGAGGGGGGTCATTCCAGGAGGATGCTAGATCGCCTTGAAGAAACACCGTTGTCGGCCCTGGCAGGCTGAACGGGCAACAGCATTAGAGCCAAGGTCCTGGAGCGGCCCGTATCTCACAGATGTCTCATTGGGTCACCCATATTTTGGAGGTTGAAAGGCGGTCCAACCATACAAGATTGATCCAAGGGCATTCGCACAAAAGGCCACTCGCGATACCCGTGTATCAGTGGCTGGGCGGGGGAGTCTAGGATTGAAGGGTACAAGTGTACCTAGCGTTGTGTTAGGTACCCCTGAAACAAGGGCATCGGACTGTTTTCGATGGACGCATGTCAATTGTCAAATGACGCGCCCAATTAGATTAGGCCGCTGGCAGATCGAAGAGTGACCCCGGCCATGGCACCCTTGCAGAGCGAAGAGAATGGTGCCTCAGTCCAGCAGATGTTCCACCAAGACCTGCAAGCGAATCAGATTGGGGGTTCTAGGCGACCCACTTCCCAGAGTCCACCTGGGCTTTCTCTTGCCAGGCAATCACGCGCTGTCCTTGTCTGGGCTCTTCTGTGATCTCAAACTGGCGGGATTCGCGATTGCCATGATTGATCTTCTGCTGGCTGTCGAAGCGGCATTACGGACAGATGCAGAGGTAGATGTCACAGGCGCCTTGCTTCCGTGGGGGATGTGCCGTTGAGGGGGGGGCGCCATCTGGGCGAGTTCCCGTTGGATAAGTCTCCGTGCCTCCACGGCCTGGAGGGTTATGATCGTTCTCAGTGCATAATCCGAGTGGCCATCCTGTGCATATGGGCTGTGTCTAGAGTGTCTAGAGCATGGCACGAAAACGGGGACGTGTCAAGTTTAAGCCAACGGGGAAATGGCTTTGTGGGCGGCCTGGCACATCGTTTTGGTATGGCCTTGTCCCTCTTTCTCCCACCCTGGTTAAGTGGCCGATCAATCGTCGAGCCAAGGTAGACCTGATAAAGCAGTACCTGACAAGGCAACGGATGACGCCTCCGCCTCCCCCCCCCCCCCCC